TCAAGCAGACTCCCTGCTGAGCATGGAGCCCGGACACCAGGCTGGATCTCACAGCCCTGAGACCATGACTTGAGCCAAAATCAAGAGTCAGACACTCAACCGACTGAGCCACCCAGGCATCCCCGTAGTATCTAATTTTTAAAGAAATGTGTGAATTATCAAAATTGACTCAAGAAGAAATTGCTAACTCAAGTAAATTAACAACCATTAGACAAATTGAACTGAATTTTTAAAATGATGGTTTCACACATGAGCTTTACCAAATAATCAAGGAACAAATAATACCTACCTCACTTAAACTCTTATAGAAAATAGAAAAAAGGGTTATTTCCAAATGCATTTTATGAGGGTAGTTACAACCCTGATACCAAATGTGGGCAAAGGCAGTGCAAGAAAAGGAAATTATAAGCCCAAATCACAAGCATGGATGCTAAAATAAAAAAAGCACTCATAAATTGCGTGAAGGAGTGTATTAAAGAAATAATAGTACATTTGGCAAAACCAGGTATATCTCAGAGAATGCAAGGATAGGTCCGTACTTGAAAAAGCTATCGGTGACCCATTACATTAACAACAAAGACAAAACCTATAATCATCTCAGTAGTTTTAGAAAAAGCATTTAATAAAATTTAGTATTCATTGCATGGTTTTAAAATATTCCTACTTTAAACTCAGCTGGGATAGAAGGGAACTCCTTCACCAGATAAAGAGTTTCTATTAAAAACTTGCAACAAATATCATGAATAATAATGGCACATTAGAAATACTCTCAATGAGGGAAGCCTGGGTGGCTCAGTCGGTTAAGCACCTGCCTTTGGCTCAGGTCATGATCCCAGGGTTCTGCGATCAAGTCCCACATCAGGCTCCTTGCTCAGCGGGGAGCCTGCTTCTCCCACTGCCTGCCACTCCCCCTGCTTGTGCTATCTCTGACAAATAAATAAAATCTTTAAAAAAAAAAAATATTCTCGATGACATAGAAACAGGAAAACAATCTTGCTCTCACCCTTACTATCTGATGTTATATTGGAGGTCCCAGCCCATCCAATGAGATAAGGGGACCAGTATCAAGAGTGTGATTTACAGATAATATGATTAGCTATATAAAAATACAAGAGAATATGCAAATAAACCATTTAACTAATAAGGATAAGGAAGTTCAGCTAAACAAGATTATTCCAAAATCAATATTTTCAAACAGCATCAATAACCAACTAAAAAATTTAAAAAGGATCCCACTTAGAATAGCAACAAAAGCTGTAAGATACCTAGGAATAAATCTAACAAAGAGGTGCAAGGATTTTTATAAATAAACTAATGTTATGGAAGGATATGAAGAAATCAGAGTGATATTAATGTGTTAGATGACTCAATTTTATAAAGACATTATCGTATCTCCCAAAATTTAAATTGTGCATGTATAAATTTAACTTAGCAAAATACCAAAAAAGGTTTTTTGTTTTTTTTTTTTTAAAGATTTATTCTTTTGACAGAGACAAAGCGAGAGAAGGAACACAAGCAGGGGGAGTGGGAGAGGGAGAAGCAGGCTTCCCGCTGAGCAGGGAGCCCAATGTGGGGCTCGATCCCAGGACCCTGGGATCATGACCTGAGCCAAAGGCAGACACTTAACAACTGAGCCACCCAGGCGCCCCCCAAAAAGGTTTTTCAATGGAAGTTGACAAACTGATGCTAAAGTTAGTATGGAAGAATAGAAATCCCAAAATAGCCAGTACAGTTTAAAAAACGAACAAAATGGGGGGGGGAGCCCTCCTGGACACGAAGACTTACTATAAAGCCATAATAATTAAAACAGTGTGGTATTGGCTCAGAATGGGTTTGATCAGTGGAAAAGGACAAAGTAGGAACATATCCATGAATACATGAAATTTAATTTTCATCATGGCAGCATTACACATTAATGGGGGAATTAAAGACTGCCCAGTAAAGTAGGTCAGGACAACAGGTCTTCCATATCGGGGAAGGAGGAGAGTAAAATTTCTAATTGATACTATTCAAAAAATAAGTCCCAGGGAATTGATTTTATAAGTGTCGAGAGCAAAACTTCAAAACGTTAAGAAAAAAAAAAAAAGAGGCTATCTTCATGGTATCAGGAATGGAGAGAGTTCTTCTATAACACACGAATGACACAAACTATAAAGAGATCAAGGAACATGACCACATTTTACATTTTCTATAGTATAAAAGACATCAAAAGCAGGCAGAAGAGAAGCCACAGACTGAGACAATATGATGCGTATATGTATGCACTCCTATAAAACAAGAGGAAAAAAAACCACATACACAGCCCATTGGAAAAATGGATGAGGTCTGTAAAAAAATCACATCACAGACTTGAAATCTTAATACCCAATCAATATATGAAGAAGTGCTCATTCTCACTAGTAGTGATGGAAATGCAAATAAAACAGGAAGATACTGGGGTTTGAAAAAGTCAAATTGTCAGAAATGAGAAAATTTTGAATCTAGAAAGTGGTGAAGTTCATGTGAGGGAGACAAGAACTCTCATCCACTAGTGGTGGACGTGTAAATTGAAGAACCATTTGGCACTCTCTAATAAAACTGAACATGTGCGTGTAGCCTAGCAATTCCCCATCTAGGTAGATTCAGAGAGAAATTCTCACATATGTGCAAGGGACACATGCACACGCATGTTCCTATTAGCATTGCCCCAAATATTGGCAGCAGCTTAAATATTCATCAATAGGGCAATGAATAAACAAGGCACATTTATATGCATGGATCCACAATATAGCAATTAAAATGAATGAACTGATCTATATTTATCAACATGGAGAGAAAGAATAAAAACATACCAAGAAGGGGAAAAAGTCAGAATATGTATAGTCTAACACCACACATATACATTTTAAAAATCAAAACAATATTCTGTATTTTTATGGGTTCATGTATAGTAAAAGCTTAAAACCTAGATGGGAAAGTTACATACTAAATTCATGATAGTGTTTGCCTTTGGAGAAAAAGGTGAAGAATGGATTTGGGGAGGAGTACAAAGGGACTTCAATTTTATCAGAAATCTTGAATAGTTCAATTAAAAAAAAACCCCCAGCAGATCTGGCAAAATGTTAACATTCACCAATTATATGATAGGTACATGGATGCTTGTGATATTGTCTCTGCATTTTTAAATATCTCTACCTTTTTTTCCAAATAATAAAATTAAAAGAAAAGCAGCTAGTAAAGAATTCTCTGATAGAAATTTCACCTGTGTAGATAAATTGAATCAATTGTTTAAAATTCTGAGGCAAGGAACTTTATAATTATCTGTCTTAGAATGGAATCTCCATAAAAATAATATAGCTGGTAATATTAATAAAACTACTGAAAGGAATAAAGCAGATTCTATAGGTATCAACATGGATAGTTGTCAAAATCATATGGAGAAAAAGTAAGTTGCAAAATGACATGCACACTAGTGTACCATTTATAAAGAAAATTTAAAATACTCAAGCATGGGTATACATATTTACATATAAGTATTAAGCAATTAGGTAATAAAGGTATAATAATAAATGCTGGAAGAATACACTATAATACTGATTACCTAGGGAACTAAGGAGGTAGAAAGTTGAATTAGGGAGGGAAGTAAAGTGACATTTAGCTCTATCTGCAATCTTTTAATATAATTAAAAAAAACCTGAAGCAAACATGACAAATATTTTACATTTGATTATTCTAGGAAGTAAACACACGAATGTATGTTATTCTTGATGTACATGTATTTTTAATTTCCAAAAGAAAAAGTACTGAAGAATTACAAAGAAAATGCACATAATTCAACACTATATAAAGCTTGTGTACATCAAAAACTGTGCTATGACTATTTTTAGAAATTATCCTGTTTGCTTTTCTGTGTTTTTAATTTTTCAAAAATCAAAGGAGAAAAAAAGCAATGAAGAAATGCAAAAAAATAAAATCAAACCAATACCTAATCACATAAAAAGAAAACCCTGCACAAATCACAATGAGCAATTCTGTATCATTTGCTGCATTTTATTTTTAATTTTTGTCAAAAAAAATAAAAGATGTTGCCTAATTGGAAACGTGACTTTCTATTATTAAAATTGTGGGAGTCCATTTTAATGTGTTTATCTCGCTGCTAGTCTATAATTTATATTTCAGCGTGGAAATTTGTTTGTATGCCTGTGACAGGTTAATGCAGTTTAAACATGCATTTTTCTTTCGTTGGCTGAATAGTTAAATCGTTACTCAAAGGATTTTAAGTTTCAATTTCAACCATGAGAGGATTCTTTGCTTTTTCAAGGTTAGAAATGTTTCTGGTTCAAAATGCTATTAATTAATGGCTACGTAGTGGATCTATTTAGGGAATTGGTACCGACTCCGGATTAACAGTGGAACTGCTAAATGAGAAAACTTTTTGATGCAGACTCGGGGATGTTTTAAATTTGGTCTGACAGCGGTGGACAGAAATGAAATGTAATTCCAGCCCGCTTAACTAACAATCGTAATTATGAATCGAAAGACATATCAGGTATTAGCATTTTTTTTTCCCTTAAAAAAAAAAGTTTCTCGGACTCCGCCGGACACCCAGCTGGCGGACGACCAGCGGGCGCGGCGGGGGGGGGAGGTGGGGGGGCGCGCGAAGCCGGCAGGCTGCCCAGAAGTTACGATCGGGGAGTTTTCTCTTTATTAAAATTACCTGGCTCACCAGCAGAGGCAAGAAAGCGAAGACAAGATAATTTCTTAGGCTGTTAAAAATGACTTAGCCCGGTGGGCCCCGCGTTCCGAGGGGGTGTCCTGCGGGCCGGGGCGGGTCCCGCCGCCCCCGCGGGCTCCGGTGCGTCAGGGGCGCGTCAGGCGGGGCGGGCTCCGCGCGGGCGGCGGCGGCGGCGCCGGGCGGCGGGCGGCGCGCACCGGGCCTCCTGCTTCTCGCTCCGAGGCTGCGGGACGGACGCTCCCGAGAACTCTCTCGCCCGCGGCCGGCCGCGCTCGGACGGCGCTCGCCGGCGGCCCGGCGGTGCCAGCATGTCCGCCGCCGTGGCGTGCCTGGACTACTTCGCCGCTGAGTGCTTGGTGTCCATGTCCGCGGGCGCCGTGGTTCACCGCCGCCCGCCGGACCCCGAGGGCGCGGGCGGAGCCGCCGGCTCGGAGGTGGGTGCGGCGCCGCCGGAGTCCGCTCTGCCGGGTCCGGGGCCACCGGGACCCGCGTCGGTCCCCCCGCTCCCCCAGGTCCCCGCCCCCAGCCCCGGCGCGGGCGGCGCCGCGCCCCACCTGCTGGCTGCAAGCGTCTTGGCTGACTTGCGCGGCGGCTCTGGGGAGGGCTTCGGGGAGAACTCGGAGGAAGCTCTGCGCGCCTCGCCCGGCTCCTCCGGCCCGACCCTGGGCTCAGAGCCGGCCCCGGCCTCCAGCGCGGCGGAGCTCTCCGGACCCGCGCACTCCTCTGGCGCGCTCGCGGTCCCCGGAGCGCCTGCCGTCCCCGGAGCGCCTGCCGTCCCTGGGGCGGTCCCGGGCGAGGCCCCTGGGGCCTGCCCCGCCCCCGCCACAGGTCCAGTGCCCCGTCGGAGGCCGGTGACACCTGCTGCCAAGCGCCATCGCTGCCCCTTTCCGGGCTGCAACAAAGCCTATTACAAGTCGTCGCATCTGAAGTCCCACCAGCGCACCCACACGGGTGAGCGCCCTTTCTCCTGCGACTGGCTCGACTGCGACAAGAAGTTCACGCGCTCCGACGAGCTGGCCCGCCACTACAGGACGCACACGGGCGAGAAGCGCTTCTCCTGCCCCCTCTGCCCCAAGCAGTTCTCCCGGAGCGACCATCTGACCAAGCACGCTCGCCGCCACCCAGCCTATCATCCCGACATGATCGAGTACCGCGGGCGCCGTCGCACTCCCCGCGTGGACTCGCAACCCACCGGTGTGGTGGACAGCTCCGGCTCCGTCCCCGGCCAGGCGCCCAGCCTCACCACCTGCCTGTCTGACAGTCATTGCTGTTAATCGTCCCAGCAAGGACGGTTCCCCCAGGCCGTTGTCCCTGCCTTTTCTTTGCCCGTCCCTCTTTTCCCAGAGTCGTTAGACCAAGGCACAAGACTGGTTCCTCCGCTTCGAGGGTCGGTTCAGGCAGGCACGTTGGACCCTGGGGAGGGACTGGGGGCCCGAAAATAGCAGGAATTCTTACAACAGGTATATCAACCTAAAAAGGAGGGTTGCCTCAAGACAGCCCTCTGGAACTGATGAGAAGGGATGAACCCCGGTACTCTCCCAGAGTCCTGAAGATTCTCCCTTCCGTGGAACCAGAGATGTGAAACTGGAATTCTCAGGTGCCTGAGGAGCTTCCAGTCTCAAAGAACTCTGTGTCTTACCCACCCACCAGGGCGGACCTTGGAGAGGGTGTTAGGGGTGGCAGTCTTGGAAATGTCCAGGACTGGGATGGTGAGAGGCCTTTGGAAACAGAAATGATTTCTATTTCTGTAAATAGCGATGTTTACTAATTTATTTTTAGTATCTTTTAAACAGGGATCCCAGGTTGATGGGAGGTTGATGTCCTCCACTCCCCAATTGCCCCAGCTACCTCTGCTAGGAGAGGCCATGTAAGAGTCCGTGTGAATGTATGGCTGGGAGATGCTTTTTGGTGTCTGGGGAACGGTGTGAGTCTGTTTGCAGGTCCTGTTGCATGGTTTGGAACGCTGCCCTTGCGTCGTAGCCTTTCTTCCCATTTGGATTCCTACTTGGGGAGGGGAACTTCCTGGCTCACTCTCACAGTGAGATTGGTTTTTAAAAATTTGGAAACAACCATAAAAGCACCAGAAATAGAAGAGTGGTCCAGGCCAGTTCTCCTTTCACCCTCTGGTGACTTTGGGTGAGATAGGTCCAAAACAAGACCTTTCAGGATCATTGTTAACATTCAGGGAAATAGGGGCATGTGGTTCCAGCTGCACAGTCCAAGTAATCTCAGGTGTGGTAGATTCTGTTCATTTCTTAGTGGCCAATGAGGGGCTTATTTCCCTTGGGAACTGTGCATTTTTGTTTTTGCAGCAAATGAGTTGATTGCTTGGGGAGGGGAAGATGAGAGTGGATTTCTCCAAAGATCTGGTTGCCCTGGATTTGGGGAAGGAATAGCAAGGTGAAAATTGTTATCAAATAAGAAGACCCTTCTCCCTTTACCTTGAAGTCCCTCCAAGTTACACCCTCAGGACCCCTCTGCCCGTAAAGCAGGAATCAAGCATCAGCAGTATTTATTTTTCTATGTGTATCTCTGCTGCTATGAATGAAGTCGTCGGCCACTCTGCTTATGTATGTGCGAATGTGTATACATGTGACCCTTTTACAAGAGGTGGGGCTGAAAGGAATTTCCTGCTCCTGGTAAGGTCCCTGTGGCCCCCCCTCCTGAATGTCTTGTAATAGTCCATCAATCCCATTTGTGGAGGGTGCCATAATCTCAAAGGACTGCAACAGGCATCTCGGTAAACGAACTGCTTCCCCCTGTTTTGCAGATGAAGACACCGAAGCCTAGATAAATTTAAAGTCTCATGCTGAGTTGCTGGCAAAAGCCAGGACTAGAACTTAGGTATCTGGCTTTCTAAGTGACTCCCTCAGGCTTAGTTACCTCACCTCCGCTCTCTCTCTGGGCCCTTAGTCAAAGGACACCACTCTCCCTTCCTGCCACCAGTATCCCCTCCCTCCCTAATCCCTATCACTTCTAAGTTCCTTCGAATGTCCAGTTCCTGCTGAACACTTGGCCTGTTGTGTTTAACCCCAAAACCCTTTTCCTAGCAGGTTGAGTCCATTCCCCCCTTCCACACCATGTGGACCTACAATGGGAATGACTGTTTGGCATTTGGGGAGAGACTTTATCTTTTGACCTGGTAGATTAATTTTCAGTGCCAATTCTACTCTTCCTCTGGTCCTGGGCGTTCTGTTTTCCTTGAGAGAGTGAGTGATACAACTTGACATTGGGACTCTACTAGGTGCTCCTGCACTAAGTGAGGGAAAGATCCTTAAGAAGGACCCAAAGGGTATGCCCTATGACTTTGAAGAGGTCAGTGTTTCCTGATGCAGACTAAGCAGACTGGGTGGGGCTCTTTTTGAGTTACATATGGGAAGAGGAGGTCCCCAATTGTGGCGGTGGGCTTTGATGGTGAGAAGGGTCCTCCCTTTGCTCTGTTTGTCTCCTCAGCTGGGACTGGATGGGAAGGGCACTCTGGGCCCCCTTGAGGATTGTTATTTCCCCTTTGTCTCCTTCAATAGAAGATCTGCCATTGAGTAGATGAACAATGAAGCTAACAGGAGAGAGACTCCCACTGACTATTTTGGAATTGGGCTCAAGAATGCTTGGCTTTTCCAACCACCCTTTGATAAATAACTTTTGATTCTCAAGCTTCTAAGCAGTGTCCTTATTTGGGTTCTTCGACCTGGGGGACTTCTGTCTGGGGATGGTCTCTGACAATCTAAGTGTGGCATGTCTTCCAATGACAACTCCTAGGACTTGGGATGGTGGGGAGGGGGACACTCAAAACACTTAAAGTAGCCAGATAATGGAGGCAAGATTTATAGATTAGTCTTTTTTTTTTTTTAAGATTTTACTTGTTTATTGGGGATGGCGGGGAGGGAGGGAAGCACAAGCACAGGGAGGGGCAGAGGGAGAAGCAGGCTTTCCACTGAGCAGGGAAGGCGGGGAGAGCACAAGCAGGGGGAGGGCAGAGAGAGAGAAGCAGAATCCCCCCTGAACAAGGAAGGGGGGAGAGCACAAACGGGGGGGGGCAGAGAGAGAAGCAGGCTCCCCACTGAGCAAGGAAGGGGGTAGAGCACAAGCAGGGGAGGGGGCAGAGGGAGAAGCAGGCTCCCCACTAAGAAGGGAGCCTGACAGGGGACTTTATCCCAGGACCCAAGGATCATGACCTGAGCCGAAGGCAGACGCTTAACCGACTGAGCCACCCAGGCGTCCCATAGGCTAGTCTTTCTTAGTCTTGGGTATTGTTGTTACCCTTTCACTCCAGCGGCCAGACAGCTCTTGAAAAACGATTATGAGTGAAATGTCTTGGAAGGGGCATCCTAGTTTTATTGGTGTTTCTTTTGCTTCTTTTTGTTAAACAGATGGAGCTCAATTAGTGAATGAGTCTGGGGATTAGTTGGGGTCAGCCTGAACCTCTGGGTTCTTCCCCACCCAGGCCATCCTGAGTTCTGATGTAGGAATAACCCAATCTATTAACAGAATCTACTGCTAGAACTCTTCCTGAATTCTGGGTTGGAAGCTGGGAATGAATTCCAGGTTAGATCTTGGGTGCGAAGGAACTGGATCCCCAGTCCCTGCTGGGAGGGTGTAACGAGTACAGGACTTGCCCCTATCCACAGGGACAAGAATCTGTCATTTGTCCCTATTTCCCTGTTCTCCAAGTAGGGAACCATACTGGGATACTACTCTTGGTCTATCTCTACCTCTTACTCACTTTTCCCCAAAGGAAGTTTGTGTTCTCTGATGGAGACCCAGGGAAGAGGGTCATTGTACACACACACGCACACATGCACACGTGCGCATGCACAGACACAGAAATGCGTGCACACATGCATGTTCTAAGCTCTCTTCTTTCTGTTGTAACTTTTTGCCTGCAATGTGTGTGCAGTCCATTCAGATCTAGCTTTCACCTAATAAGCACACCTGCTGAGGCTCAGACCTGCCTTCCAGAGGCAGGTCTGAAGAGCACCTCTCTGTTTCCACTTTTGGAGCAGCCATGCCCCCTTGCAGCTCTCCAGGTAAGTCTTGCCTTTGTATATTCTCCTTTGGGTGGGTAATCCCAATATCAGGAATTGGGAGTGATGAGAGAGGTAAAGGGTATTAGAAAGCCCAATTCTGACCATAGGTACAGCTTCATCAAAAAAATGCTGATATTTTGATCCTCACTAGTCTGATACCTAATCTATTACCCAGGTGGTTGAGAACTTAGAAGGGAAAGGATAAGATTAATTTTCTCCCTTAAGCCCCAACACATGCAAATATGCTTTGGCTGTATATCTTGAGAAATAGGCACTCTGATAGGAATTAGGGAACCAAAATAAGATGTGTGGAGATGGGACGTCTGGTGTGCCAGGGCACAGGTCTTTGGCACATTAGTGATCTTGGACCATTCACTTCTTTGGCCTTTTCAAGTCTTAGCAGCTTATAGTAACTAGCTTCCGTACCCAACTTACTTTTTTAGAGGTAACTGGACTGGTATGTTGACTCTGCAAAAGTAGGCTGCACAGGCCACTGTGGCTGATCTTGATTCATATAGATACAGTTGAGATAGGCTTGCTGCAGAAGGGAGAAACGCTATTTTTTTTTTTAAAGATTTATTTATTTGAGAGAGAGCACAGGGTGGGGCAGAGGGAGAAGGAGAATCCTGAAGCTGACTCCGCACTGAGCATGGAGCCTGAGGGGCTTGATTCCAGGACCTTGAGTTCATGACCTGAGCCAAAATCAAGAGTCAGACGCTTAACCGACTGAGCCACCCAGGCACCCCAGAGAAGCACTATTGACTGGAACAATTTCTGCTGCCTTTATTGTCAGCCAGAATTGTAGATGAAGACTTTAAGGTGCAATGGCACAAGTTCTGTTTGAACTTCAAAACACAAGTTTAGCAGATTCTATCCCTAAAACTGTGCTGGGAATTAGCAGGCGGCATTAGATCAGTTTCACCCAATTTGGTTCCCTTTTACCCTTTTTTTTAAGGTTTTTATTTATTTATTTGAGAGAGAGGGAGTATGAGCCGCAGAGGGGCAGAGTGGGGAGAGAGAAGCAGACTCCCTGGAGAAGGGCAGAGAGGGGAGGGAGAAGCAGACTCCCTGCTGAGCAGTGAGCCCCACACGGAACTCGATCCCAGGAACAGGCTCCCTGTTCCCTTTTATCTTGATTTAAATTGCATCCTTTGTAGGACCAGGGAGAGACCTATGGGAGGGGCCAAGTTCTTTATTTCAGAGGGGGTATCCAGAGTCACCTTCTATTTTTGTACCAAGTTAGCTCCAGGTATGCTGACTATATAAGCCCTGAGAGTGAAATTTCAGGGACTCAATCTGTGTTTTATCACAGAGGGATGGTGGATTTTAATCATAAATATAAAAAAGAGGAGGGGCGCCTGGGTGGCTCAGTCGTTAAGCATCTGCCTTTGGCTCAGGTCATGATCCCAGGGTCCTGGGATCAAGCCCCATGTCGGGCTCCCTGCTCGCAGGAAGTCTGCTTCTCCCTCTCCCTCTGCCCCTCCCCCCTGCTCATGTACGTTCTCTCTTTCTCTCTCTCTCTCAAATAAATAAATAAAATTAAAAAAAAAAAGAAAGGTTATGTTCTTAGAGAATAGAATTGACAGTACAAATGGAAAATAAAAAAAGGTCAGAAGCCAACCAATATTAAAGATAAGCCTGTAAAAGAGGGTGGTAGTTTAGTCATTACTAGGTTAGAGGACGTGACTGAAATCCAGTGAGATATAATAGAAGATGAGCTCTCAG